GGTGTATGTGGCTGGCACCTTAGCTGCTTGAGCCACAGGTGCCAAGCCTCTCTTTTGTTTTTAAAATTTTCTGGGCAGCGCCTGTGGCTCAAGGAGTAGGGTGCTGGCCCCATATACCAGTAGGGTGCTGGTTCAAACCCAGCCCTGGCAAAAAAAAAGAAAAATTTTCTGCAAGCAATTTAAGTTCATAACATGTGGGCTCATTTTTTCTTTTTCTTTTTTTTTTTTACAGACGGAGTCTCACTTTGTCACCCTCAGTAGAGTGCTATGGCATCACAGCTCACAGCAACCTCCAGCTCTTGGGCTTAGGTGATTCTTTTGCCTCAGCCTCCTAAGTACCTGGGACTACAGGCATGAGCCACAACACCTGGCCATTTTTTGTTGCAATTTGGCCAGGGCCGGGTTTGAACCCGCCACCCTCGGTATGTGGGCCAGCGCCCCACCCAATGAGCCACAGGCATCGCCCATGTGGGCTCATTTTTAATACCATCTTTAGTTTTACAATAAAAACAAAATAATCACCTGCTAAACTGTAGGTGATTACTCCAGGCCAACGACCTCAAAGTGACCAAATACAAATTATGAGACGCTGACAGGCAAGTATAAAGGGCCACTGGCCAGGAGCAGGTGTAACTGGGTGTCAGAACACCAGCAGGAACCAACAACCCCCATCCTGGCTATGACAGTCCACTCACTGTAGCTCCCACCACAGAAAGATTTTACCTATGACTATAAAAAAGCGTGGAGGACACAGGCAGGTGAGCCCAGGTGCCCTAACACATTGGCCACCTCCCCAAAACCAGGAGAGGCCCTGATCACCCCCCCATCACTTGGGTGCACAAAAGGAGGGAAAGAGGTCGACATCACCCGGATTCCCCCAGGGGCCATTCCCCCGGGGGCCAGCCCTCATCGTCCAGCTTTACATTCAGTTAGAGGCTCATTTCTCCACAGCCCACCTGGGAGAGTCACAAAACAGTATTTTCCTCTATGACAGACTTTCAGACCAGACCTATAAAACTGGCAGGTGAAGATCTTAGATAAACATAGTAACAAAAAATATTTATATGGCACTTACTATGTGTCAAGCTCTGTTCTAAATCCTTTACACTCACTAAATCAGTTTAATTCACACAAGAATCCTATGAAGTGGTAGAGTACTATTATCCTAATTTTAAAGACAAGGAAACTGAGGCATAGGATGTTAAATGACTTGTCCCAGAGTTACAACGGAAGTAACTGATCTGAGAGTCAAACCCAGGCAGTCTGACTATGGAGTCCTGGCTCTTTACTACCATGCTACCTTCTTTCAGATTTTCATAGTAAATTATATTAAACACAGACATCAATTCTGAATGGAACAGGGCAGAGTTGTATATACTACTGAATCTCTCATAGAGGTAAATCTTAAGTAGAATCTGCTTGTAGTTTCTGGACGTATGTCAGTCATCAACTATACGTTGTTCTCTTTGTCACTGGACTCATTATGTGCCTTATCTTAAGTATGGGATAAATTGTAATTATGATCACATCAATAAATATATAAACTCATGTTATTAACAGCTTAAGATCTGTTAGAACAGTGTAAACTATGTTGGGCACAATTAATTTCTTGCTAACAGTTTTACCGAGTATCATTTACATACCATAGAATTTATCATTTACAACTCAATCATAATTAGTAAGTGTGCAGAGGTATGTAATAGTTGCCATAAACTAGTTTTAGAACATTTTCATCATGGGCACAGTTACTTTTAAAGAGAAGTCTCTATTGTCATTTGTGAGCTTCCTCTAGTTTGGTGGTTTTAAAATTTTTAAATCAAATGAAGCTCAACACTGTCACTTGTTAGAAAGACCAGAAAATAAAAATTTAGTAATAGATGCTATCCCATTATCATAGAATATACTAAAGTCAAGTGAATTGTGAACAAAAGATCTGTTTTCATAAGGTAATAGACTCACTGTCCATAGCAAACTTACAAGAAAAGAAAACTTCATGACCCTCCACAGCAAATGACAAAGATCCAAATAATGGAACCATTCAACGTCCACTGCCAGGCTTAACAAAAGCTAACACCTTGACTTTAGCAGAAACTGCTGACTGCCGGTGTAGACACCAATCCAACCTCACTTAATATTGTTCACAGGAGTACAATTAAAATGAAGCACATATTTTAAAAAATAATTCACATACCTGATTTCTTTGGAAACAGAAATTACAGGCCCAAAGTTTTGCTCGATAATCAACCTGACTGTGAGAAAGAGAAATATTACCACTAGGTGGCATAAAAGCATTCATACGCAAATTTAAAGTTCAGTAAATCACACAGATTAGTGTTTCTACAGGTATCTAAATAAACATATGCTAAACATTCACTATAATTAGAATTCTGACTCTTACGTACAACAAAAGTTTCCTGCAAACAGCTGCAGTAAAGAATCAGTAGGCTCAGTGCCTGTGGCTCATTCGGC